TTTTTTTGTTTTAGTATTTTGAAGTTGACCAATTGTTACTATAAGCAATTAATGATTATAGATGATCTGCACCGTAGCCATCTCATGGATATAACAAAGTCTTTATCAATGCCATTCATTGTCTAAACAATTAAAAGTAGATAAGAATAGAGAGGTTAATATGTATACAAATTATGCATTACCAATATATCAAAATAAAATTTTTCACTATAAACAATAGCACATTACCAAAAGTTATCATTTTTCATCATCCAAATACAATTCGCTCAACCATCCATCCCTATATGTAATTTGTTCATTATAGAGGGTGAACTGTAGATGAAGATTAGAAATTTTATTTACATATGTTTTGCAAATTATTTGATATTAAAAATGTTACTGGAATTAGATTCAACATGTTTGCCGATCGATCCTCGAATATTTTTGTTTTTATTTTTATTTAATCACAAAAACAAGTTTACAACTGAGAACTTTTGCTTTTTAATTGTTACACGATCACTTTTGCAGTGCTCCACAAGATCAAAATTTTATTTACGTATTATATTTAATATTTTCATGGAACAAAATCGGATCTTAATCTTTATTATCATCCTCAAAAAATGATGATTCATTGTTGTTGTTTACTACTTGTTGCTATAATAATAATGCTTTATCAATTATTAAATAATCATATAGGCGGGTTTGATCAAAGTAAATGTTAGTCAAGATCTACGAAGCTTGCAAAACGAACGTTTATCGATTTATTCAATAATCATATAGCGGGTTTGATCAAAGTAAGTGTTAAATCGAGTTTGCAAATGAATGTATAGGCATGATCAAAGCATTTTAGTAATAAACAAATAATCAATTCAATTATCAATTAATTGATTAATTAATAATACTTCTTTAAAAAGTAAACAAGATCAAAAAAATGATAATAATAGTAAAAAAAAAAAAATGTTTTTAGTATTTTTAGTTAGTTAAACAATAATCAATTCAATAGAAAAATTTGTTTTTTTGAAATTACCACCCAGCAGCGAAAGCAAAAATCCTTTCCCAAAAATTGGATTTAAAAAATAAAGATTTTTCCCTGATCGTTGGTTGCAATTTCTTGCATCGCTTCGCTTTGCAATTCAACCCTACAAAATTTTTTTTCAGAAAATGTATGGTTTTTCCATACATCTTCCTGTATTTTGTATGGAATATGCACGGAATTATACATGAAAGAGCGCTTTTCCGTACATCTTTCATACAGAATATGCGGAAAATGTACGGAAGAACATACATTTTCTGACTAAATTTTTTATAGGGCTTTTTCATTGTAGAGAATTCTTTTTTTTATAGAGTTATTGAAAACATTACGTCCAGCATATGGACCTCCATCAAAAGATATTCTTTCTGGTTGCCTTTTGGCACAAGAAACAGCTTTTGTTAATCGAGCAGTAATTAAAGGATTGAAAATTCCCAAGACTTGACTTTGGGTATGTTATAAATTTTAAACTTGAATTGGGATTCGGAACTAGTTTCAGATTTCGGATTAGTTTCGGAATTTTGGACTTTCAGATTAATATTGATATTAATATTAATTCGGACTTTCAGATTAGTTTCGGAAAAATACAAAATTCCGATACATTTCGGACCTTGTGATTAAGTTTCACCAGAAACATTAAAAAAAACCTACATACATAAATGTATGTATGTAGTGTATACATACAATTACATGTTTTCTGTATTACCGAATCTTTATTTACTGGTCATATTAGGATATTATATTAATGTATTAAAAAAAAACAAATGGATACAAATTCTTTTTAATTGAACGACGTTATTATTAATATTAACATTATTTAATTCTCAAGAAATTTATTAATATTAGAAGAACTAATAAATAATATTAATACATTAAATTACATTTACGCATAATGAATAATAACAACTAATTAAATTGGTTATACAATCTTGATTTTAGCTCTGCAGAATTCTTTGCCTTTACGTGTTATAATGAAAAATTTGCCCACTAGGCTTCTAGCTTGGAAATTTTGATCAAATTCAAATGGTGCGGTTCCAGGAGGATTAATAATCAATAGTCTTCTAATTTTATTGGTAAAATCTCTTTTTGTATTACCGCTTTTATCAACAACGCGGAATCTATAATCATTTGGATTCGGACTTGTAAACCCAGTGTTGACTTGTGCAGTTACACGTGTAGTGGTTTCTGTAATCTGTGTAAAGTGGAATGTACCAGAACATTTTCTACCACGCTCAAATTTTAAAAAAACAACATCGCCTACTTTACGTTTTTCTGAGAGAGTTGGTGATGCATCGATCAAGATATTTGAGAAAATCGTAATAATTAAAAGAGCAAGTGTTAAGAATTTAATCTCCATTTTTTTATATATTATTATTATTATTAAATGTTTTGAGAGAATTTGATGTTAATTATAGTTCCAAAGGAAAGGGGAATCACACCTTTATTTATATGAATTTTTTTTCGCAACTCATCTAAAAATTTAAATATTGGTGTAGCAAATAGAATCTATTTTTAAAAAAAATTCCTTTTAATTGGCTAAATTTAATTTTATGATATTTCCAAATATATAATGTAAAAAGGAAGGTTTAATGAATAAGAAAAAGTATCACCAGTTAATTTATTTTGCATAATGCACAAAAAATACATTCACAAAAAGAATAACGCTCGCACATAATGAAAGCCTATTTATATCTTGGCTAATAATAATGCAAGGTTTTACGACAAGAAGAGTGAATTAAAGAGGTAGGGCTTAATTAATTTATCCAAATTTGCATTTATTATTTAATTTTGATTTATTGCCAAACGATGTAAAAAAATTTACACATTATAATAATGACAATTGATTTATATTTAACTAAATATATATACATACGGCATGCCAAATATGTTCTTTTTCTTTGGCTGCCCAAAATATCACGCCAATTCCTGTCTCTGAACGGGTTCTGAGTTTTCTCTTACTCCAAGAAAGAGAAAGTGAAATTGGTTTATTGGTAAATTTCGTCGTGTGACAATTTAGATGCTCACATTTTGTTAAAACAGTTTTTTTTTTCCTCCAAATAATAATAAAAAAAAGATGAATCCAAACAACTATAAAAGAACATTTTATCCAAATTTTCAAATAATAATAAAAAAGATGAATGTGAGCGACAATAATAAAATTGTTTAATTAAAATAAAAAGATAACACGAACAATGAATTATCAAATTCCAAAAATCTGTATAAATAAAATGAGATTTTCTTTAATAAATTTCTACAATCCAACACAATTATAATTTTTTAAATAGCAATACAAAACCAGTCACGGGGCCCCTGACCAAAATTGAGTTTTTTGATAAAATTTCTTCCCACCTTATGATCTACATACACCATTTTTCTAAGTTACACGAAATTTTATGTAAAGAAATAGAAACTTAATTCGTGATCCTTTTAAGAAGGAATGTAACACAACTAAAGATGGTTCCTCAATTAGTTGCAACTAATTGCGGCATATAAAAATTGAATTGCGGTTCCATCTCTGAACACAACATTTGTTAATAATAATACCCATAATCTCAGCACATTTCTAAAATAATGTGTGAATAGTTATAAGAAAGAGGCCTTAGTAACCTAACAAAAAGAATTTATAGATGTCTATTCGCTATTTTTAACTGTTTTTTTATTAAAATATAAGTGCAATAAGATGTTATAGCAGCAAAAACGAAGCGTATTCTTTGAATTTTTATTATAAAATGTTGATATGCACCCCGCCGATCACTATTAAATGCTTTCCTTCTTAAAAGGATCACGAATTAATATGACAAACTAAAATTAAAAAAATGATAATATTAATGAGTCACTTATAATGAAATAAATAACAACAGATAATAATAAAAAATATTATATAAAGATAAAAGTTAATTAAAGTTTGGACAAAAATGTCTATATTGTTCATCTACATGCTGATGAATTTTAGTATATAAATATCTTTTATGTTCATTTGTTAATGGGGCAACTTCAAGAATATTTAATTGTCTATTTTTATCAAAATTGTTTTTTTTGAAAAGATTAAAAGAAAATTCTTCGCCACCAGATTTTTTTGAAGCATAAACTCATCTATATCATTTGAAAAACTAAAACAAAAACGGTAATATCCCTTTATATCCCTATAAAAAATTTGGTACAGAAAATGTATGGAAAATGTACGGAAGGCACAGTTTCCTTGCATTTTTCGTGCATTTTCTGTATTTTCCATTCAAAAAATAGTCGGAAAACGTACGAAAAATGCAAGGAAACTGTGCCTTCTGTACATTTTCCATACATTAACATTTTCAGAGGTACTTTTCCGTACAAAAATGTACAGAAAAAATGCGAATTTCAGGTAAAATTCCGTAGTAGTAGAGTTTTCCATACATTTTCCATACCAAATTTTTTATAGGGTATTTGGTAGGGTTCTAAAATGAGCTTTAAACATTGAATTAAAGTCATACCAGCTCCATCCTAACCCATTATTATATCTGATAGAATCATTCTTTATTGATGAATCATTTATTACCTTTTGAACATCATCAATAATATTTATAGATCTACCCTATAAAAAATTATTGACTGAAGTGTACGGGAAAACAGTATTGATTTACGGAATAGGTACGGAAAAATGTACGGAATCTTCCTGTTAAATGCGCCGAAATGTACGGAATTTGTGTGGGATAGATACGAAGTAGGTGCGGAGTAGGTGCTGAATGCATACTAAACACGCACGGAATACACATGGTTTTTACGGAAAACATACAGAATTCATTTTTTTCATACGTTTCCCGTATGAATTATGTGATGTGCCAATGTGAATTCGTGCGGAAAACGTACGAGAAAATTGAATTCCGTATGTTTTCCGTAAAAACCATGTGTATTCCGTGCGTGTTTAGTATCAGTCGCAGGACATTGCGGATCTACAGGGGGTCAAGTGTCACTCACTAATAAAAATTTTTTGATCAACACGGAA